TCCAATAACATACAGAAAATGATTGTGTAAATCAGGGGGAAATTTATATTGTTAATGTGAAATTGGAACTTCATCTTCAAAGGTATACGAGAACACCAGAAGGACCACAAAAGACTAAGAAACCCAGGTATGGGTCAAACTGTTGAAAACCATCTTGGCTCCTTACTGTGAGAGAGCGCCAGGCAACTCATGGAACTATAACCACTACAGCAGCTAATGCTTACAGTGCCTCAATTTTCTCTAAATTAAAGCACTTGGTACTTGTGTTTTACAGCCGTTGGCTGGTAAATTTTCTATGCTTTGTTCTGTGATCTCTACTAGTATATATTAAAACAGCTGCAGTATGCGTTACAGTAAATTATTATTGTGCCAAGGAACTGAATTCAAGCCCTTTTCTATAATTCTTGCAATGCCCCTTTTCCTTTAACTGGAAAGGGGAATTTTGGCAAGTGTTTTTCTTTCCAAATCTTTTGGGGATTTTGTTTGCAAGACGATGTCCGATAATAAACTGTCTGCCGGCTTGGCCAAGTATATACCAAACGCTGCATACTGAGGTTATTGTCACACATCAGGTGACCCGAACTAACGAATCCTTTATAATGACACTTGTCATTACAGTATCTGCAACAGATCTAAAAACATACATCCTTATGTGGGGTGGAGGTATATGGCTGTGCGCACCCTTTAAACCTTGTTGACATGGGAGATGCTGTGGGCTGTAACTCTCATTATGCTTAGCTCGGCCTTGCTTCAGTTACAGTAACGGAGTATGAAAGGATAACTCATTTTAACGTACCCACGATCATTTTAGTTTGAGATGCTATGATACCATACTTAGGCATATTCCATCACTTTTAGTGACAGAACAGGGGAGCATTGTAAGAATTTACTGTGTCTCATATGACAGCGGCTTGAGGGAGGAGGTTACAGTAGTAAACAAAAAAAAATTACAAATTCCAACTCAACCAATACCTGCCTTTTGGTTGTTTTTTTTTTTTTTTTTAAACTACATATATATTTTTGTTTTTTATAACCCCTAATTAATAGTGCACACGGTAGCTGATACCAGGAGAACCAATCATGTTCTATTAGACCCAATTGGGTCTCCTGATGATTAATTCACTGCCCAATGATATTAGTGATGACAGCACAACAAGTATAGCTGAAGGCAAAAGTTTAGCCACATTATTTATATTTCATGTGACAACAAAATTTATTTAAATGCTTAGCTTGCGTCAATACATTTGACCTTAGAAGGGAAACCATACTTCCCAAGTGTCAGTCTCTATTTTAGGCCAAATTCCACTGAGGCTCTTCTGTATCCTAATGTCTCTATTTTCTCAGAGCTCCGAATTGCTGGTGTATTTAAATGTATAACAGAGCTCCACCGGAATAATACTCACAATAATGTCTTTAAACTACAATAAATGTGTTTAGAAATCAATCTGTAAATAAGATACATTGTTCCTGTTGTAAATTATATTTTGTCTGCATACATTATTATTAGTAAACTTCTCAGGACAGCCCCGGACCATTAAAATTAAAGTGTCCCTCGTTGTCCATGGAAAATGTCAGGTCGTATGGAAGCCCCAGGCTAAAGAAACACCAATTAAAAACAATTAGATGTGTTCCTTTTGAATTTTTGATTACCGCCCCACTCAAACTTATCCTTATCCCAGTGCTGAGACAGACTCCACACTGCAACCAATCCTCTTTGGTAGAAGTAATTGAGCCTGATGACACCTGCGCAACCAAAGGCTTTTCGTGAGAAACTATGAGAACACACGGCGCATGTGCGGCAGTCATTGCACTCCACCAATCCAGCACTGCTCATAGAGACACAATGAAGCCAATATAGGAAGCATTAGCAACATCTGGCATCATTATGCTGGATGTGATGCAGATTATGAAATTTGAAGGGTGTAAGGAGAAAGCACCCTTGTGGCTATCAGTTTAAAATGGCGTTGTTTTATAGTGTCCGAGAAAAAGGACAGCATCTGTGCATCCAAGGCACTACACGAAGACATGGTTTTTGATGATTAGACTGTCTATTTAAAGCAAAATCAGGACAGGTGGTACATTCGAAAAAGATAAAGAGATGTACTATTTAAAAAAAAAAAAATACATAAAATCATAACATTTTAAGTAAGAAATTAAAAAAAAGAATGCTGACACAGGGAGAATAATTTCTATATTACATATTATGTCAATGTCTACAAGTTATGGTATTAAGGAAATTGACATGTTTGCATTAATATGCCATAATAAAAAGGAAGAAGGCTATGTAATTACCAAACTATGTAATAACATAATTCAGTGTGCTGTAGATCTCCGATTAACTCGTATAAAGGCATGGGTGACAAGCATAAAAAGCATCATTTCAAAAGAACTAATAGAAAGAAAATCTGAATTGTAATACATGGAGGTTCTATATCTAGCAAGGCACAAAATAGAAAATGTATAGAATATTACTATGTTCCTTTTTATATTCATAGTAGGCATGGATGTCTAATGGGTTAAAAATAACAGATGGTACTGTGCTATGTTGTACCAGGATTACTCTGGAATGTGGTAATTGGGGGGACAGAAGGACCTGAAAAGAGGGTTGCCCAGTTGATAAGTAGCTATGCCAACCAAGGATGAATGCTCTCCGATGGGCAAAAATTACCTGCAATGCAGTCACACAGGCAAAGCACAATAGGAACTGTCCCATGGAATCTTTTTTATTTACTTTTTTATTGGTAGTTTTGTGAATTATTCAGCATTTAATAGCAAGTGCAAGGAATTATAGCATTGTGGACACGCAGGTCCAAGAAACTTTATAACTCAGTATAGTCACTTACATAGGAGGTTTAAATGGACATCTTAACGTTATATAACCAAGTCCGCTGAGCCTAATTCCTTTGAACCAATGCACATTTATGATCAGCACGTTGCGTAATACAAAATTATCTTTCTCTACCTGACTCCGTTGTATATAACTATTGGCCATATTATTTCCTGAACGTGTCCTACAACTTATGGTTCTTCTTGTAATGCGTTTAGCTAGGGTCTTCTAAAGGTGTATTCTAAACCGAGCCAGGGATAATTAGCTTTCAGGAGGCTCAGTGTGGCTATCCCCGTCTCCCTTTATGTACCGTTATGGGCCTGTGAACGTTGCTAGTGAGTATTAGGTCTTTCCTTAGGTGGTCCGGCCCTGCTAACCTTCCCTAGAGGGGTGTGTGTATGTTTATGAGTCATCCGAAGAGGCCCGATGGGCATGGATGAGGTGGTTACAATGTTTGGTATTTATAATCGTCCTGATTGTTCTCCATTACAGGGTAGGCCCCTCATTATGATGCGTGTTTGTCCTATTCACGTATGCGTGTGCATATGTTAAAAGTTACAAGTGGAAATCAGAGAAGATTTAGTAGTAAGGTAAGAGAAGAAGAGTTGCCCTTGGTCTTGGGTGTAGTTTAGGTAGGGTAGGGTAGGGTAAAGCAGGTATGAATGGTCATGCTCCAGTGAGCCATCCTCCCCCCCCAAGCTGCCTACCTCTATCTGCCCTGAGAAACGAACACGAACCATGGTCGCCACATCTCTGCGTGCTTATCTCCCCTCCCGAGTAGCGAAGCTTGGATTGCCTCCGCCCCCTGAATGTCCTCCACCTTGCGGATCCTGTCCTCCAGTTGGGGTATCTCTGTCCGTTTCCAGTATAGCGGGATCAGAGTTTTGACATCGTCTAAATATGTAGAAGGGGCAATGCTGCCGTCCATTCTGTTGTTTCTCCCATAATCTTGGTTATTTTCTCACTAATCATCTCCCAGTACGGGACTATGAGGCGGCATTCCCACCATATATGTATCGTCGTGCCCCTCTCTTCGAGACATCTCCAGCACGTCGGTGGCATTGCTGGGAAGATCCTGTGGAGTAGTGTCGGGGTCCTGTACCATAGTGCGATTAGTTTGTAGTTCGTCTCTTGGTAACGGGTGCTAATGGAGCTTTTGTGTTGCCAGAACAGTGCGCCCTTCCATTGTTGGGGGGTGAAGGTGGTAATCAACAGCGCCTCCCATTGCCTGCGGAACGTATCGTTCTCTGCTAGGTTACCCACCAGAAGATGTTGGTAGAGGGTGGATATAGTTTTATCCAATAATGAACCTCTTTCGCAGCTCGTTTCGAACCAGGTAAGGTCCCTGTGGAGTCGTTCTTTATTGCGCATGGTGTCGTAATAGTGTTTTACTTGCTGTCCCATGGAATCTGGGAGTTTAAGGAAGCAGGATAACATTAAAAAATAAAATAAATGTAAATCATTACAATAGCAGTGAATCTAATCACTGTATTGGGAATAAGGTTACTTACCTTCCTTGGAAGAAAAAAAAATGCAGGTTGTGCTAATTTGCATGTGACATCACAGAAATATATTTAAAAAAAACACTTAGAAGGTGAAAATTCTCTAAATCACAAAAAAAAAAATAGAAAAAAAAAATAAGTTGATGGTTTTTGCCACATACATGGATTTCTCTGCAGATTCGGGAGACTGGCCTGAAGAGCATGCCTTCCTAGGTGGCCACTCAATGGACTTAGAAGAAGGGTTGCCACAGTGCAGTATGGCTCTGGGCCTGACAACTTGAAATACTGGCTTAACTCTTAAAATACCAGCAAGGTACAAACAACTTATAGCTCTATAAACGTGTAGCAGATTTTTTTTTGTGCATTTTAGTCATCTGTTTTGAAAAACATAGAATAGCGAAATGGAGGAGCTAATAGGTAGAGAAACACCATCACTGGAAAATTTGGTTGGTACCTGTGATATACTCTCCTGTTGATGAAAATGACTACTATTTAAAAGAAAAACAAAAAACAGACAAGCATTACAAAGAATACACGATTACAGGGAAAGAACACACACAAAAAAAGTAAAACATTTGTTTATTGAGGGAAAAACAAAAAGGGGAAGAGCGCTAAGGTTTTTTTTCTTTTTCTCAGCCTTACAGTACAGTTTATTATGAACCTAAATGCATGTTGGCAATACCGGAGCATATTTCTGCTTAAAGCTGTACTGTCATTATCTGGGAACTCTGCTTAAAGCGGCACTGTCATTATCTGGGGACTCTGCTTAAAATGGCACTGTCATTATCTGGGGACTCTGCTTAAAGCGGCACTGTCATTATCTGGGGACTCTGCTTAAAGCGGCACTGTCATTATCTGGGGACTCTGCTTAAAATGGCACTGTCATTATCTGGGGACTCTGCTTAAAGTGGCACTGTCATTATCTAAGTGACTCTGTTTAAAGCGGCACTCTCATTATCTGGGGACTCTGTATAATTTTCAAGGATCCCTGATGGTGACATTATGTTTGTGGGGGTGGGAAAGGCAAAGGTGAGTGTAACTTTAACCTGTCCCTGTCATCTTCTTCTAGCCGGTCCTTTTCTGCTCCTGGCGTTTCATCTCCGGGAGCGACGTTGCTGCTGTACTCTCAGCATCCTCCATAGATAAAACCAATTCCCTGCAGCTGTCACTGGTGATGGCTGGGGAGTGGGATTGACACATTTAGACGGCGGTAGCTCTGCCTAGTGTCTAGAAGAGTCAGGTGTACTGTGTGTCGGTATATTTTTTTGTTTTGTTTTGTGTTGGAATTTCAGTGAAATGGGGGAGGGGGGGGGGGGGGGGGGGTTAATCCAGCTGTCCATAGAGCAATCTTTATGCCTTTGGACACTGGACCATTCTCAGGTTTAGTATTTCTGATCTCTCCCTAAAGTAGTCTATCTACTTATCCAGAATATAAGGTGGGTCAAGGTTAGAGGGAGTGTTTATGGTGTACTCAAGGTTAAGAGGAGACTTGCCCGATGCTATATACTTTATCTCCCATGATTCCCCACTGAGTGTGACGGATGTTAGTGTCATCTTGATGGAAGAAACTCCTTAACCTTTTAGCCAACTTCAACCCCTAAACCTACTACATTGAGTTAATTGTTGTACCTGTTACACATTGTACCCAGCACTGTGAAAATGCTCGTCATTGTCCACAGACCTCCGATGTTTTTTAATGCAGCTTTAGTAAAGTGTTACTGGTGAATTTTATATTTTGACTAAAAGAAAATATTTGTAAAGAGACACTATGTACCAAAACCACTACATCTTCACAGTGCTTGTGGTGCATCGATGACATTCTTTTTCCTTGCAATATAATACATTGCCTTTTCTGAGAAACAGCAATGATTGTTACGTTCACTCAAGAACAGTCTTACAGCCTGTAGAAAAACCTTTCCATTAAAGCGGCACTGTCACCCTGCCCCCAAACCTGTCTAAAATGAGTATTTCATAAACGATGGAGTCTTTATGAAATACTCATACTGACTGTGTGTTATAATTTAATTGAAATTCCAACCCAATCAAAAGATATACTCAGACTGTCTCTGTATTTTTTCTACACTTGACATTAAGCTCTTTCTGTGGATGTAGGATCCTCCATAGACCTTAATGCTGTGCTCCTACGAATGCGCAAGAGTAAAGCGCTGATGTGGGCTCCTGGCAGTTGAAACTCCATAAACTGAAGAAGAGCTACAGTAAAGGAATGCAGTGCCCACGAGTGTCTGCTTTAAGTAAGAAAATCTGACCACTGCCCCAGGCCACCAAGCAACAATGTCCATGTCAGGGGTCTTGACATAATTTGCAAAGAGCCCGGAAGGTGACAGATCCTCTTAGGCCTTCAGATTTTGAAGGTATTCAAGTTCTGCGTCTTCACTCGTGACGACAGTGAATGCTGCTAATGCTTCTTATATAGAAACATTGGTCTGGCACAGAGTGGTGAATGCCATGCATGTTTCGTTAGTCCACCAGAGATGATCAGGATTGCGATCTCATTATGGGCAGACTGATCTGCAGATAGGAAACTGGTTTACAGGGAAGTGTAACTGACTTTTTTTAAAACTAAAATTATAATCACTTAAATGGTAAACATATTTATGTTTTTATGTTCTATTAAAATTAAAAACTTGAATATTAAAGTGCTTGAAGATGAGCCTCATATGGTTTGTTTATCTGGCACACATAATGTTAATAAAAAGATTTGAGTGACGGCCAATTAGTGGTACTATCACCGTATCACCCCCCCCCAAAAGCATTTCACCTGTGTGCCTCTTAACTTGTTTCGTATCCCCTTTTTAAAAATGTCTTACCCCCTTTAGTGTATCTTATCCCCTATTTTTCTCTTCCAGCTCCTTTGTGTTTCTCTTTCACCACCAGCCGTTTATATTGCCCCAGCCCCTCTGTGTCTCTTCTTCCTCTTCTCCAGCCCTTCTGCGTGTTGCTTACAACCCCAGCCACTCTGTACATCTTTCTCACCCCCAGGCCCATCTGTGTCTTTCTCCCCCCTCATGGCCCTCTGTGTGTCCTTCTCCCCACTCAGGCCCCCTGTGTGCCACTGTCCCTTCCATATCCCTTAGTGGTCCTCTTCCCTGTCCCTTAGTGTTCCTTTCCCTTCCATGTCCCTTAGTGTTCCTCTCTCCTTCCTCCCCTGTCCCTTAGTGTTCCTCCCCCCTTACCTGTCTCTTACCCCCCAAATCCCCTTAATGTTCATCCAACCCCCCCTTGTAGTGTTCCTCTCCCTTCTATTTTAGTGGTCCCCCCCACCCCTGTTCCTTTTCCCCTTCCCTCTCCTGTACCTTAGTGCCTCCCCTTAATGTTCATCTCTCTCCCCCCTAGTGTCATCCCCCTGTCTCATAGTGTTCTTTCCCTCTCCCCTCCCCTGTCCCATAGTGTTCTTTCCTCACCTCCCATGTCCCGTAGAGTTCTTTTCCCCCCATCTCCTGTCCCATAGTGTTCTTTTCCATCATCTCCTGTCCCATAGTGTTCTTTTCCCTCATCTCCTGTCCCATCGTGTTTTCCCCCCTCCCCTGTCCCATAGTGTTTTCTCCCTCCTCCTCTGTCCCATAGTGTTCTTTCCCCCCTCCTCTGTTTCATTGTGTTCTCCCTCCGCTGTTTCATTGTGTTCTCCCTCCCCTTCCCCTGTCCCATAGTGTCCTTTCCCTCCCCTGTCCCATAGTGTCCTTTCCCTCCCTTGTCCCATAGTGTTCTTCCCCCCTCCCCTGTCCCATAGTGTTCTCTCCCTCCTCCCCTGTCCCAGTGTTCTTCCCCCCTGTCCCCGTAGTGTTTTCCCCCTTCCCATAGTGTTCTCCTCCCCCCTCCCATAGTGTTCTTTCCCCCGTCCCATAGTGTTCTTTCCCCTCCTCTCCTGTCCCATAGTTTTCTCCCCCCCTCCCCTGTCCCATAGTTTTTCTCCCCCCCCCGTCCCATAGTGTTCCTTCCCCCCATCCCTTAGTGCCCCTCTCTTTCCCCCGCTTCAGTTTCCTGTACCCGGCCGGATTGACAGGAAATGCTCTCTCAGTGAGCACTTAGTTTCAGTCCAGTCTGTTACAGGAAACAGAGGTTCCTATACATTAGTGCGCTCCGCTCAGTTACGCTACACAGAGTGACTGGCAGGAGGGAGCACTGTGTGCCCACCTCCTGCCGGTCACTCTTATCTAGTGCCCCCCGGGCCAGTGTGCCCTAAGTTGGCCGCTTGTGCCACCTTATGGATGCGCCAGCCCTGAATTTAGGTGCAGTCACAAAGTTCAAATTTGACAACCAATTACTAAATAGGCTCAACTGAGGTGGTATTGCCATTTTAATCTATGACATCACAAGGCAGCATGCTAGAGATTACATCCAGGTAGATGCCTACATTAAAAAGCACCATTAAAGGGGTCTGCATTGTATTGAAATATTAGTTATTCCTTTAAGTTTGCTGCCTACAAGAAAATCTGGAACCCGACAAAAACTATAGATTGAGAGCTTGCAAAGTGCTCAACAACCCAACATAATCTAGTTTTGTTTGTACATGTATTAGCCATGGCTACCAAAAAACACAAACCACAAGAGAAATGATGAGAAGGCAATGTTCTTTAGTGTGGACCTCTTGCCTAGAACAACACTTTAATCAATAGAGCACAAAAAAGCTGTCCATAGGTTTCTTAAAGCATTTTTAACACCTCATCAGTTTTTAAGATATTTGTAATAACACATTTATACTTACATTAGCAATTTCTGTTGGGCTTAGGACACGTCCACAGCTGAAATATAGAGTCCTCCCCCCAACCCTAACCTATATTTTGCAGGTTCGGCTGTTAACTCAACACAAATCACTGTTTAGTGCATAGTTCTATATAATTAAACACATCTTAATAAGCAACGGATCATTTTATTGTCTACTGAAAAATCTAGTCTTTTTGGGTAACTATTGTCATGTAATGAATATATCATTATCAATACTACACATTTTACTAATACAGGGTACCCCTGGTCTTTCTTACAAGTTTGTTATAGGAGGATTCTATCATTTATCATGAGTGAAAACCACTTCAGTTTTTTGGTAGAGGTTAACAGGACATATCAGACACCATAAGGATATTATATTCCATTCTTAGGCTTTGTGTAAGGAAGTCCTCAGTCTGTGATTCGTTGCCATGTCCTATAACTGAAGCAATTATCAAAAATCCCTGCAGCTGACAGCCCCCCTCATTCATAGCTGTGTTAGCTATTGTGCTTAAACACACACTGACAAATAAAACAATGTATTTATGTTGGTGCTAGAGGTGCGTGAGATGTTAAATACTCTAGGACCCGGCCATAACTAAGATAAAAAATGCAATTAATAGTATACCAACAACATTCGATATTCACAATGTACATCACCCACAGAATTAAGAAAATTCCCTTATGGTGCTGTAGAACATGGGGATACCATGAAGTGCTCAGGAGCTATGTCCTTAAAACCAAGTGCCCACAGCAACTGAAGCAGCTGGAGAACGGACTGCAGGCATGAAGGGGTTGATTTTGGAGGGATCCATGTTATGGCATACATTCTGCCACAAAACCAATCATGGCATCAAGACAGGAGTTCCAACCTTGCCAATAGAAAGTCAATATCTTCCAGAGACATCACTCTATCATCAACTGGTCATGTTGCACAACAAGACTATTGGTTTGAATGACATTACTGGTAATCAAGCAAATCAAACCTTCAGTTCATACATAAACAAACCAAATAGTCCGAATTAAAATAATTTGTAAAAGGCTTTTTATTCGGACAATTCGGTTTGCTTATGAACATAGTGACTTTTTGTAATGTTTTTGTTTGCCGATTACCAAGAATTAAATTTGGCCGAATCACTTTAAATACTAGACATGTGCAAAGCAAAAATTTGTTTAAACAGCCTTTTCATTTGCACCAAACTGTAGGTATGCCAGTTGTTAGGCTTCCTGAGATTTAGGATTGCCTGCTCAAGGACAGTCTGTGGGTCATTGTGCTATTTTGCATTGGTCGTAATCACTGTAAGCCTGTCCAAAACTCCAGTAATCTCCTTGTGGAACTGTACACTATCCACCACTACATTCTACCAAAGAACAGCTAGCAAACTCTGTATAATCCCTTTAAAGACAAGTATATTGTCTCGGTATCGAGTCAGTGATGGCATAGTGAAGCATCAAGTTGGGTTTCCTTCTCCAGAGCTAAGTTTAATTTTTGTAAAAAAATTTTTTTACCCTGCAGCACCATATTGGGACTTTGCTTTTTATAATTCCAACAATTTTTTTACGAGTAAACTTTGGGTAATGTGATTTTTCAGTAAAATGAGGCAATGAAAACTAGCTGAACATGTAAAGTTCGTGTCAGGTGCTAAATATCCTTCCCCCAACCAATGGAGCTTACAATCTGTGTGGAACTCTTATCTATTTGTACATTCTGTATTCTCATCAGCTCTTTTGATTATGACGATTATGTGAACTAGGAATGTAGACTTGTCTCACTCTGTAAACTTGTTCCTATCTGACTTAAGTCTTGATCTGTAAAATATCCTGTGTTGCAAGAACAGGAATCTGGTTAGGGTCCTGCAAAGGAAGAAGTGAAAGTCATTCACCTCATTTCCAAATTGTCTCTTTTCCTCTGTTACAGAGCCGTCTGGACTGGGTGTAATGCAGACCTCACAGTATCACAATATCGAGGGATATTATGAGGTTAAAAATGTATGTTATGTGGTAAAAGCATTCGTGTTTTTTTTTTTTTACTTGATATAGAAAAGAGCCTATATTAGTGTCAGGATCGTGACAGGGATCCAACACGCAGAATACAAACAGGGGATAGGTACGTATACCGGACCTTAGAATGGCCGGACTAACGTAAGGAGAAAGCAAAAGAATAGTCAGAGACAAGCCGAGGTCGAGGGAACGAGAGATCAGGTAAGCGAGAGACAAGCCGAGTCAAAAGGACAAGAGAGGAAAGCAGGGTCAAAATACAAGCCGAGTCAGGAACCAAAAGACAATAGAGGTAATTGCACTGAGTGACCAGACTAGCTAGAACCACGACAGGGCAATGAATCATTCCACAGAACCCTTTTTTATACCTTGGCTCTTTAACTGTTGGCTCCGCCCCCAACGGGTCCTGATTGGTTGTTCGGCACTTGGTTGCCGTGATTGACGGGTCGGAACGTGATTGCCGTCATGACGTCGGCTACTGAGCGCCGCGTCATAAAAGGAGGCGGAGCTATCGCGGCCGGCGTGTAAACGACCGGGAGGAGTGCAAGGATCGGGTGAGTCAGCCCCCCTGGGAGGATGGACGTCTAGGTGTCTAACCTCCTCCGAGGTAGACACCAAAGGTACCCTGACAGTACCCCCCCTCTCAGAAACGCCCACCGGGCGGAAGGAACCGGGGCGGGACGGAAAACGAGCATGAAATGCCCGGAGGAGACGAGGGGCATGCACATTTTCATGGACCACCCAAGACCTTTCTTCAGGCCCATACCCCTTCCAGTCAACAAGATATTGCAACTTCCCCCGAGAAATACGAGAATCGAGAATGGATTTGATTTCATATTCCTCCTGACCCTCAACCTGGACAGCAAGAGGGGAGGACTCAGGGGAGGAAAATCTGTTGCAAACCAAAGGCTTCAATAAAGAAACATGAAAAGAGTTAGGGATGCGCAGGGCAGGCGGAAGGGCAAGACGATATGCAACCGGGTTAATCCGACACAGAACCTTGTAAGGGCCTATGTAACGAGGGGCAAATTTCATGGAAGGAACCTTCAAGCGGATGTTTCTGGTACTCAACCACACCCTATCACCCGGGGCAAAAACCGGAGCCACCCGTCTCCGTTTGTCAGCGTGTCGTTTGAACACCATGGAATTCTGAAGAAGAATTCGTCGAGTCTGATCCCACAACTTTCTCAGATTGGCGACATGAACATCAACCGACGGAACCCCTTGGGAAGGGGAAACCGACGGAAGAATGGAAGGATGAAAGCCATAATTCAAGAAAAAGGGGCTAGAACGAGTAGAATCACAAACGAGATTGTTGTGTGCAAACTCTGCCCAAGGAATCAGACCAACCCAATCGTCCTGGTGTTCAGAAACAAAACAACGCAAATATTGTTCAATCTTTTGGTTGGTGCGTTCGGCAGCTCCGTTGGACTGGGGATGATAGGCAGAGGAGAAGTTCAACTTGATGCCTAAGTGAGAACAGAAAGACTTCCAAAAGCGGGAAACAAATTGGGAACCTCTATCAGAAACAATTTCAGAGGGAATACCATGTAAACGAAAAATCTCCCTCGCGAATATCTCAGCTAATTCGGGAGACGAGGGCAGTTTAGGCAAGGGCACGAAATGAGCCATTTTAGTAAACCTGTCAATCACCGTGAGAATAACAGTATGTTTATTAGAAACAGGCAAATCAACAATGAAATCCATAGCCAAACATGACCATGGTCTCTCGGGAATTTCTAAGGGATGCAAAAGTCCACAAGGGAGCGTGTGAGGTTGCTTAGTCTTCATACAGACAGCACATGCCCTGACGAAATCCCTTATATCCTTACGAAGGGAAGGCCACCAGAAATCTTTAGAAATCAGGGAACACGTTTTGCGTGTGCCGGGGTGCCCAGCAATTTTACTGTCATGAAAGCAATGCAGCAGTTCCACTTGGAGCTCAGGAGGAACGAAGTATCGATCCCCAGGAACAGGTTTGGGAGCTAGATGTTGTACTTTCTTGATCTCAGCAAGCAACGGCGAGTGTATCCTGACACAAGTGTTGGCAATAATATTACACTTAGGAACGATAGAAGACAAAGCTGCTTCAGACACCGTAGAGGGTTCATGTTGACGGGACAATGCATCTGCCTTAGAGTTCTTAGAACCAGGTCTATAAGTGAGCACGTAATTGAAATGTGTCAGAAACAAGGACCAACGAGCTTGCCTGGCTGACAAGCGCTTGGCCTCCCCTATGTAAGACAAATTCTTGTGATCAGTCAAAATAGTAACCGGGTATAATGTCCCCTCCAACAAATGTCTCCATTCCTTTAAAGCCATAATGACCGCTAACAGTTCCCTATCACCAATGTCATATCTACTTTCAGGCCCAGATAATTTCTTGGAAAAAAAACCACAAGGATGTAACGGTTTATCCAAACCTAGCCTTTGGGACAAGATAGCGCCTATACCTGTCTCCGAGGCGTCAACCTCGAGTAAAAAAGGCAAAGATGTGTCAGGATGAACTAATATCGGTGCTGAGGCAAAATGTTCCTTGAGAGTTTTGAAAGCAGAGAGAGCCTCTGTGGACCAAGTCTTGGTATCAGTCCCCTGTCTAGTCATATTAGTAATAGGAGCAATAATAGAAGAGTAACCTTTAATGAAGCGCCTATAATAATTGGAAAATCCGATAAATCTCTGAATGGCCTTGAGTCCCCTGGGCAATGGCCAATCTAAAATCGATTGGAGTTTAATGGGGTCCATCCTAAATCCGTCTCCAGAAATAACGTAGCCAAGAAAGTTTATCTGAGATTGGTCGAAGCTACACTTTTCCAATTTGCAGTACAATCCATGTTGTAACAGTTTGCGCAGTACCCTTCTGACTTGTCTGTGGTGAGTCTCAATCTCTCTAGAGTGTATTAGTATATCATCTAAATATACTATAACGCATTCATGCTGAAATTCCCTAAGAACTTCATTAATAAGGTCCTGGAATACTGCAGGTGCATTGCAAAGCCCGAAGGGCATTACCGTGTATTCATAGTGGCCATAACGGGTATTGAAAGCTGTTTTCCATTCGTCTCCCTGCTGAATTCTCACCAAGTTATAAGCTCCCCTCAAATCTAACTTGGTAAAAATCTTGGAGCCTTTCAGTCGATCAAAGAGCTCAGTAATTAAAGGAATAGGATAAGCATTTCTAACAGTTATCTTATTCAAGCCCCGATAATCAATGCAAGGCCGTAGAGTGCCGTCTTTTTATCTACAAAAAAGAAACCGGCCCCGGCCGGAGAAGATGATCTCCTAATAAAACCTTTGTCTAGGTTTTCACGTATGTACTCCTCTAGGACTAAGTTTTCCTTAGTGGATAAAGGATATACCGTACCCCTCGGAGGCATAGTACCAGGTAGGAGTCTAATTTTACAGTCGAAAGACCTATGTGGAGGTAAAGTATCAGCCCTCTTTTTGTCAAAGACTGCCTTTAAATCCTGGTACTGTGATGGTATCTGTAAATCTGTAGGTTGGGAAGAGTTAACCGGGGCGTCAACCCTGCAAATTGGTGAGACTTTCTGCACACATCCTTTCTGGCAACCCTGACCCCAGGAGACTATCTCACCCAGTTCCCAGTCAATGATAGGGTTATGCTTCTTAAGCCAGGGATACCCCAAGACTATAGGAACTGAAGGAGATGAGATCAGCATGAGGGATATTCTTTCCTCGTGAAGGATACCAGTGGTTAACTTAATTGGTATGGTTTCACGAAAAATAACAGGTTCAGATAATGGTCTACCATCTATGGCCTCAACGGCCAAGGGTGTATCCCTTAGCTGAGATGGGATAGAATGGTTAGTGACAAAGGCTTGGTCAATAAAGCTTTCAGCTGCTCCGGAATCTATCAAAGCCATAGCATTAAGTACTCCCTTTTCCCAAGCTAAAGAAACAGGTATCAGAAGCCTATGATCTTTATAATCATAAATAGAGGACAAGATAGAAACACCCAAGGCCTGTCCTCTTGAGAAACTTAGGTGCGAGCGTTTCCCGGCCGGTTAGGGCAATTTAGGCGTAGGTGACCTCTAATTCCGCAATACATACAAAGACCCTCCCTTCTCCTGTACTGTCTTTCCTCCTCTGAGAGTCGAGTATGACCTATTTGCATAGGTTCTGGGAGAGCTAAAGTAGTAGAATCAGAAGTCTGAAATGAGGGAGCTAGTCTTATGGAGGATCTGCGGGTTCTATCCCGAATATTCTGCCTCTGTCTCATACGTTCATCTATTCGGGAAATAAATGAAATCAGATCCTCCAAATTTTCAGGAAGATCTCTTGTGGCCACCTCATCTAAAATCTCATCAGATAACCCGTTCATAAATACGTCCATATAAGCCTGTTCATTCCACTTGACCTCTGCCGCCAAGGATCTGAACTCCAAGGCATAATCCACTAGGGTTCGGTTATACTGTCTAAGACGTAACAGTAGTCTAGCTGCATTGGCCTTTCTTCCTGGAGGGTCAAAAGCTCTCCTAAATGCAGCGACAAAAGCATTATAATTATAAACTAACGGGTTATCATTTTCCCACAGGGGGTTAGCCCATCTAAGTGCCTTGTCAATGAGCAAGGTAATTATAAATCCAACCTTTGCCCTGTCAGTAGGGTAGGCGTGGGGTTGTAATTCAAAATGAATACCTATCTGGTTTAAAAAACCTCGACAAGTGTCAGGAGCGCCGCCATAGCGTGACGGGGACGTAACACGGGAAGAAGTAGCCACTGTGGCTACCTCTAGGCCTGTACTTATAGGAGAGATAGATGGGGTACGCATCTCCTCTGAGTGACTACTAGGACGAGATAGCAATGCTTGCAGAGCTAGAGCCATCTGGTCCATTCTATGATCCATGGCCTCAAATCTAGAGTCAGGAGAACCGACCTGAGAGTTTGTACCTGCAGGATCCATTGGCCCTGTCGTAATGTCAGGATCGTGACAGGGATCCAACACGCAGAATACAAACAGGGGATAGGTACGTATACCGGACCTTAGAATGGCCGGACTAACGTAAGGAGAAAGCAAAAGAATAGTCAGAGACAAGCCGAGGTCGAGGGAACGAGAGATCAGGTAAGCGAGAGACAAGCCGAGTCAAAAGGACAAGAGAGGAAAGCAGGGTCAAAATACAAGCCGAGTCAGGAACCAAAAGACAATAGAGGTAATTGCACTGAGTGACCAGACTAGCTAGAACCACGACAGGGCAATGAATCATTCCACAGAACCCTTTTTTATACCTTGGCTCTTTAACTGTTGGCTCCGCCCCCAACGGGTCCTGATTGGTTGTTCGGCACTTGGTTGCCGTGATTGACGGGTCGGAACGTGATTGCCGTCATGACGTCGGCTACTGAGCGCCGCGTCATAAAAGGAGGCGGAGCTATCGCGGCCGGCGTGTAAACGACCGGGAGGAGTGCAAGGATCGGGTGAGTCAGCCCCCCTGGGAGGATGGACGTCTAGGTGTCTAACCTCCTCCGAGGTAGACACCAAAGGTACCCTGACAATTAGAAATAATTGATAGAAGCATAATGATAGCAGTTGTGGGGACTGAAATGATGACCCGGTTTCTTTCCGTTGCATGGCACGACATATTTCTTGCCCCATCTAGTATAAACTGTATTACATGATGCAATGGGATATAATGTCATATCCTGGCCTCATACCTTGTGCTACCTTATTCCCTTTGGCCACAAATTTTCATGTCAAAGCTTTATTCCTGGCAATATGGCTCCCCCCTCCTCCTGCCTGGGTGATTAAATGGTGAAAAGGCCTTTATTTACACATCTTATCCCATCGCCGATGCTCCGCCTTTTCCTATGTCCAGCGAGAAGCGGCAACTGTGGTGCATGCATTAGACCTCCCTATAGGAAAGCATTTTGTTTCGATTCAGGAAGCCCTCTAGTGGCTGTCTGGCAATCGGCCACTAGAGTAGGCATAGGCAACCTTCGGCACTCCAGATGTTTTGGACTACACCTCCCATGATGCTTTGCCAGCATTATGAGAGATGTAGTCCACAACATCTGAAGTGCCAAAGGTTGCCTACCCCCGTGAGGCTGACCTAGTGCTCCCATGTAAACATTGCAGTTTCTCTGCAGTTTAACATTGAAGCAATAGGTGCAAAAGGGACATTGTAGCCAGACCACTTCAATGAACTAAAATGGTCTGGGTGCCTACAGTGACTCTTTAAGGCTTCGTATTACAATCTCAGTCCAGCTGGGGACTAAAATGCTCAGATTGCCTTACATATTATTGATTTTTTTTCCAGCACAAACATTTTGTTATATATGTATGTTATTTATGTATTAAACTCAACATCTAATTGGCCTTCTGAAAAGGTACACACAGACTATATGATGACAGTTCATGTTTCTCACAATCTTATAAAATGAAACTATGTGCATATATGACTCATTTTGAAAATTTGCCTGAATTGACACTACAATTCACAAACTTTCAAAGGGGAATCACGCTGGGCCAATTCACAATTAACTACAGCTTGCATGAGATTAATTTAGAACTACTTATCTAACAACTGTTAGTTCCTCTTTAAAGCACTGTTTTCACTGATCACAAAATTAATGAAATGCAATTCACATACTGCATGGCTCCCATACTACAAATTAAAACACGAGGCGTTCCTAGGTTACCTGGGGGCAGAAATTTATTTTGGCATCTCCCGCTTCTACGAACTGTACAATTTATTTATTCTTTTTGTCTCTTTGCAATGCCCCTAACACCTTTTTGTTAGGGAAATTACAAACACACACATATATACTTACATTCATAAACTCACACACAATAGATTTTTATTTAGACTTTGATCTCTGGTGTCCAGTGGTTTTCTGCTGGCACCAGTATGTGAACTCAACGCACAGCTCCCTACTGCTTTATACTGACACGAGGGCTGAGTGATGTTATCTCAGCTCTCTGAATTAGTATGGGGCAGTTAAAGGACCACTCTAGGCACCCAGACCACTTCAGCTTAATGAAGTGATCTGGGTGCCAGGTCCAGCTAGGGTTAACCCATTTTTTTTTTTATAAACATAGCAGTTTCAGAGAAGCTGCTATGTTTATAAATTGGTTAATCCAGCCCTCAAAGCCTCTAGTGGCTGTCTCATTGACAGCCGCTAGAGGCGCTTGCGTGATTCTCACAGTGAAAATCACAGTGAGAACACGCAAGCATCCATAGGAAAGCATTGTAAATGCTTTCCTATGAGACCGGCTGAATGCGCGCGCAGCTCTTGCCGCGTGTGCGCATTCAGCCGAATGGGAGGAGAGGAGGAGGATCGGAGGAGAAAAGCTCCCCGCCCAGCGCTGGAGAAAGGTAAGTTTTAACCCCTTTCCTCTCCGCAGAGCCGGGCGGGAGGGGGTCCCTGAGGGTGGGGGCACCCTCAGGGCACTATAGTGCCAGGAAAACAAGTATGTTTTCCTGGCACTATAGTGGTCCTTTAAGGAGTTCAATGAGAGCACAGACTAAACCCAGCAGAGGCGGAAGAAACTCCCCTTGCTGAAAGGTGTGCCCAACAATGCAATCTGATAATTTTATTGTAATTTTTTTAAATGTTGATTACATCCTTTTCAACATTTTTCTTGCATTATTTTGGTTTGTATATTTGTTTACAAGTGTTTGCTTGCTGGTTTGACCCCCTTAAGAAGACAGTCTATGCCGTCATGCTGTGTAGGACTTTAACGCAGTAAAGGTACCAGCAAGGGTTAAATCCTTGCTGGTACCAATGAACCTCAGGAATCTTTCAATACATGAGGATCCCCTCTATCAGCTGTAATATTACAGCGCACAGTCTTCCTCACCTATACACATCCTAGTCTCAACACCACTAGCTGTATTCATTTAGTATGCAAATCACACTTTCTTCATTCAAACATCACAAAATCATTAGGGTTGTGCCCAGTGGTGTATTTTGAATTTGTGCTGCCCTAGGCATGATTAAACTCGAGTACCCCCTAATTTAAATTTGCCTCAACCCTTCCTGTCAAGGCCACATGCACTTTGGCTGACAAACACTCCCTTATTGATGCATGAAATGACATACACTCACTGAAAGATAGTCATTGGCACACACACTGTTTAGCTAACACACACTTTCACTGACAGACACACACACAAACTTTCAGATACACTGACATACAATGACATACACTCACTGATTTGACACACTCATAGAGACACAAACTATCACGCAGACACACTGACAGATGCACACACTCATTTACAGACACATACACAAATTAACTGACAGTCACACACACTCACTGACAGACACACACTTGGTGACAGACACATACACTCAACAGACACACTGACAGAAGAACACATTCACTCACAGACATACACTGATAGACATATACACACATTAACTGACAGACACACACACTCATACACATTTCCCCCAACACTCACAAATTATTATTTTTTTTCATTTGAATCCACCCAGCCTCTGTGGGAGAGCTAGAGGGGATTCCTTACCTGGGGTCCAGTGGGGCTGCCGCTGGGCAGGTGTGCATGCAGACAGGGGGCGAACTCGCAGATTCGGCAACAAGGGAGCTCTGATCTTCCTGCTCAGCTCCCTTGCACACCGCTTAGTGATGCAGGTAGTCGGACTGACGTCATATTCCGGCTTCGGCATCACTAAGTGGTGCGCGAGGGAGCTGAGCAGGAAGAGCTCAGGGGAAAGTTCTCCCTCGCAGCCCAACTGCAAAACAAGCTGTCACCCGCCTCAGGGGGGTGCCAGCTCTTGGGCCCCCCAGGACACGAGACTAACAAGGCATCTGCCGGGGTGTTTGGGGGTGCCTTTTTTTTCTGCCCCCCTGGAAAGTCCCACCCAAGGCAAATGTTAGCCTCACGGAAAATACATCACTGGTTGTGCCGATTGAATTGTGTTTCTTTCCTAATTTTCAGTGAAAGAATACTAGGCTATGCTAATTAATGTCTGTCACATCACCAACGTACTGTGTAGCCTGCCTAAATCCCAAGCTTTGAAAACTGTGTCTGTTCGCCAATAGTGATCCTGCACTAAAATTTGGATCAGTCTTAAACCTTTAGTTTGAATACCGACGTGAGGTGCAATATTTCCAAAAGCTGAACTATATGTTGGGTTTTTGTTCTAATAATTTAGTAACTGTCAGTCAATCTGGCCCTTGTCTCTCATCTTGCCACCAATGACGGCCTTCATAAAAATAAATCTGAATTTAACATTACTCTGATAAGGGTATTCCAGGAAAGAAAAATTAACTGCTTTGTTGCCAAACAACTTGAACTTAATTTAGTCTTCCATCATCTATTTTCCATTCCAGCTGTGAACCGGTTAAGCTGCCAAGAATGTGGCTGTCTGACTGGACCTGCTTTAACAGCATCTAGCAAATAATGGACGACAGGGCTCCTCTTCTGCAGATCAATACCATTAAAGCCTTCAACTTCCAAAAATAGTTATAAAATATCAATTACATACATTGTCATTAGCTAAATGTAATTATTAAGGATGATTCATTTATTGTGTTCATCTCTCAGTTCTTTGGCAGGTTAGAAGTGGCACTGTGCCAAGGCAGTGGGAATTGATGGATGGTAGAATGGACAGGCGAACCACAACTGCCCAGAATGTTTCAGACAGACTCATCGAAAATGGCTGAGGAGACATTGTGATTCTTCTATTTATAGTAATCGCTACACTTTGATACTCAAATTGTTATGGACCATGGGAGAGATTTTTTAGGGTGTTCTCTATGGGGGAGATTTTTTTAGGGTGTTCTGTTCTAGTGGTAAAAATAAATAAACCAAGTGGAATGGAGTGGAGATTGTCCCACAGGCACCCTAACATTTCTAAATTCAGGGTCCTGTCCTTATTTAGTTCCTTGGGGCCGGCCTTCCGGGACAGCAGGGAACTGTACTCAAATAGCACCATATGAACACCACTACTTCTGCTGCCCCATCTCGGGTTCTTCCATGCGTTCCAATGTGCATACCTTGCAATGTTGGGACACATATTAGAACAGGACATTATGATGAATCTCCCCATATGTTTCCTTTGGTGACTAGCTCTCTGAACAGCAATCTCTTTTGTCTGTGGGAATGACCATCAGTGAAGACAACATTGAGTATCTAGGTAGTATTTCTTTATACACCCATTCTAAAAGGACATCTTTTCAATAAACTCAAGTACATTGTTATAATTACATCTGTAGCGGAGCTGCAATTCTGAGAATGAATATCTCCACTGGAATCCTCTGGAGCTGGAAGGGAAGCACTGGTTAGTGAATATAGCCCATTCCCCCAGTAACTGGACAACACACAGTTCTGGGAGTCAACTGATTTGTATTAGCCCAAACATGTTTTTTCATGCACAACCCCATAGTATGGGGTCTCCAGGACAAGGTGACAGGGAATTTCCCCCAAGAGGCACTGGGTTTGAGAGATAATTGAGCTTGGAATTTTAGATAACTCAATTATCTCTCAGTTACATGAAATATATGAAATCAAATATATAAATATATATATATATATATATATATATATATATAATCAAACATCCCAAAAACATAATAAAACAGTACAGGAACCCCACAATTCTTATATCCCCGAATAGCCTGAATCTGAGCACACAACATATCCGAAAAGTGCTCAGATTGGTTTAGTGGAACAGGATCGCCATTTGGGAGAAGATTTAACCGGCCGGCCACGAGGTGATGCCCCACAAGCGTTCCAGAAAATCCAGGGCAGTGGCTGGTCTTGGTTCGAGAGTTTCTGCACGAACACCGAAAAACACTCCCTCTGGAATCATATCTCCTGAAATCTCCTGTCTGTGTGCAGGAGACAAAATGTGTAGATTTTATAAATGATTGAACAGTAGATTACCTACAAAATACTCATGAAATGTTCAGCATAAACTCAAAAAGTAACATAGAAACATAGAATGTGACGACAGATAAGAACCATTCGGCTCATATAGTCTGCCCAATTTTCTAAATACCTTAATTAGTCCCTGGCCTTATCTTATAGTTAGGATAGCCTTATGCCTATCCCACGCATGCTTCAACTCTTTCACTGTGTTAACCTCTACCACTTTAACTGGAAGGCCATTCCATGCATTCCCTACCCTCTCAGTAAAGTAATACTTCCTTATATTATTTTTAAACCTTTGCCCCTCTAATTTAAGACTGTCCTCTTGTGGTAGTTTTTCTTCTTTTAAATATAGTCTCCTCCTTTACTGTGTTGATTCCCTGTATGTATTTAAATGTTTCTATCATACCCTCGTCTCGTCTTTCCTCCAAGCTATACATGTTAAGTTCCTTTAACCTTTCCTTGTAAGTTTTATCCTGTAATCTATGAACCAGTTTAGTAGCCCTTCTCTGAACTTTCTCTAAAGTATCAATATCCTTCTGGAGATACGGTCTCCAGTACTGTGTACAATACTCCAAGTGAGGTCTCACCAGTGTTCTGAACAATGGCATGAGCACTTCCCTCTTTCTACTGCTAATACCTCTCCCTATACAACCAACCATTCTGCTAGCATTTCCTGCTGCTCTATTTCACTGTCTGCCTACTTTTAAATCATCTGAAATTATTACCCCTAAATCTCTTTCCTCAGATATTGAGGTTAGGACTCTATCAAATATTCTATACTCGGCCCTTGGGATTTTACGTCCAAGATGCATTATCTTGCACTTATTCACATAAAATTTTAGTTGCCACAGCTCTGACCATTTTTCTAGTTTACCTAAATCATTTGCCATTTGGCTTATCCCTCCTGGAACATCAACCCTGTTACATATTTTTGTGTCATAAGCAACAAGACATACCATACCATCAAGACCTTCTGCAATATCACTAATAAAAAATATTGAAGAGAATGGGTCCAAGTAAGATCCCTGAGGTACCACGCTGGTAACAGGACCACGCTTCGAATATACTCCATTGACTACAACTCTCTGTTGCATGTCACTCAGCCACTGCCTAACCCATTCAACAATATTGGAATCCAAGTACAATTTTAAATGTTTCAGCACTACTTCACAAAATGTTTTAAGTAATGGGGGCGGAGCCGACTGCCTAACCGCATGGACGTGTGTTAGCTGAGCTCCTCACTCTTGGAAAGCCAATCCATCGCCATCGGGCGCTACAACTCTTAAAATGGGACACCCAAAACGTTCAACTGCTGGACAGCACTCTGCCCACAGGACCCCTGCAGGAAAACACGGTGCCCTGACAAAATTCTTCAGAGACTCAGTGGATCAAGCAAATGACCCGGTAGGCCCCAACATGGCGCCCGACTCGCCTCCGGCCTGTTCCGCGCCGATGAGTCCCACGGGCTCTGAGATATCATCTCATTCAACTGACCCCGACATCAAGGAGCTCATCAAGGCACTACCTTCTAAGCAAGACTTGGCCCACATGCTCCACAGGCTTGAGACAACATTCCAGACCAAATTGGATGCTATAGGGGCTGACTTCAAGCAGACGAAACATAGAATATTCGCGTTGGAGGAGGACAGGGACGCGATGCAGGCGCAAATTAGGGCGCTTCAAGATACGGTGTCAGCCCAGAACACACAGGTCTCTGTTATGCAAAGATCGCTGGATGACCTGGATAATAGGGGACGGCGAAATAACCTGAGGGTGAAGGGCCTCCCCGAATCTGACAGAGAAAACCTGCCTGATATACTGCAGGAGCTCTTCAATCTCATCATGGGCCGATCTACTGACACACAGATAATTTTTGACAGGGCTCACAGGGCTCTACGTCCACGAGGCACTGCTTCTGAGACACCCCGAGACGTAATCTGCAGACTGCACTATTATGAGTGCAAGAACAAAATTATGGAGGCCCTGCGTCGCTCTCAACAACCCCTTCTGTACCACGGTGCTCCAATTGCAATCTATCCTGACCTATCCTGGATGACCCTACAAGCTCGTAGAGTACTGAAGCCCATCACGGACCAGCTACGAGCTAGAAACGTAAGATACCGTTGGGGTTTTCCGCTCTCGCTGACAGCCACCTACAATGGAGCCTCACACACCATCTCCTCAACTCATGATGTACCACTATTCCTGAGGGAAATGGACCTTCCAGACGTCCAAATACCCGACTAGTATGGCATTATACCACCGCCGAATGCTCAGAGGCTTCCGCTCCAGAACCGCCGACACCAAACACCCACCAAACGGAGAGCTGGCAGAGCTGCATTGCCAGCGGATGATCCAGCACAGGCTCCTACCCACTATTAATTGCCGACGACATGCAGCTACAACAGCTGGAGGAAACCACCCTGCCACGGACATACATCTCACCTTTGCCCCATCCCGACAGCCCCCGAGGCTCATTGGATATAATTACAAGAAGTGAAACACAAGACTGACCGCAGCCCTGGGGTCTCTGGACGAACCCCCGACGGACGCAGCAATAAGAGTCTCCCCCAAGAGGACAACTGGAACGGCATACCGAAGCCCGTCAAGATGGCCCAGCTCCCGATGGTCACGCAAGTACTACCATCGATAGAGACATAGCGCTGTTCCCTCCCTAACCTCCCTGCACCTATCTAGTTTAACTACTCCCCAGGCACAGACAGAAATGGATGCCTGACACCGGTTGACTCTAGCTAATTGCCCACGACCTTGGCAGCATGGGGCTACCAGGCTAGTTGATCTGTAAATCTCTACCTCGTAAATAGACACTGGGGCCCTCATTCAACTACGCTCTTAGATATCAGCAGGTACTAACGCTGCAACTAGACAGATAATCTGGCCACCCCCACCCGCAATCAGCGCATAGTGACACAGAGGTAACAATCGGTCCTCCTTCCCTCCAATAGGGGGGGTCCTCCACTGACACTAAGACCACCCCGCCTAGCCGTCCATGACCCCTAACTGGGCACTACCCCATACCTCAATGACCAGTATTAGCCCGTGGCAGGGTGACAGCACTAGCAGCAAAAGTCCCACTCAAAGTCGCTGCCCAATACCTTTCCATCCGAATTTAAATCAATGGATTGGCTCCCAAGACAACACACCGCGCAGTACCAACCCCACCTCATACCCACACAGGAACCCGGACGGTTCCTATCATTGCCTGCCCATAACACGACAGGTAGGCAGAACAATCGGCTCCTAACAAAGGTCTGTGTGACCTTCCCAGGGTGAACCCCAAATACCCAGGTGGTCAGACTTAACCACCTTAGGTACGTCACCCACGGAAGCCCCCTTCCATCTACAGGACCGCCTGTGCATTGCCACACACACATAGCACAGGCGGACAACGCAGACGGTCAGCATTCCCCATTGTACATAGTTACGGTATATAAGTGCCGTCCCCCTCCTCTCTCCTTCCCTAAAGCTCCGTACATCCCCCCCTTCACCTAGTGGCAATTACCACACAAGGTTTGAGCGACCGAAGTCAGATAAGAGACACGTTCACTCACCCTAATGGCCAACATTCGCATCATAACACTTAACGTCAGGGGTCTCAACACCCCTGAAAAGCGCTCCATGGCTCTCAATGAACTACATACGCTCACGGCAGACATAGCTTTCTTGCAAGAGACCCACTTCAAGAAAGGGGCAGCCCCCACCCTCAAAAACAGACGGTACCCCACCAGCTATTTTAGCAACTTCACTGACACTAAGGCGAGAGGAGTAGCAATCTTACTCTCTGCCCATGTGCCCTTCACATACATCTCCCATAAGTCTGACGACACAGGGAGGTTGCTCATGGTCAAAGGCCAAATAGGTCAGACCACGGTCACGCTTGTAAACACATATCTCCCCAACAAACTTCAATGCAAGGTGTTCAATAAACAACTTAAAGCCATAGAACAATTCACCGAGGGTATTTTACTCCTTGGTGGTGACCTTAATCTATCACTAGACTGTCGCCTAGACACCACGTCCCGAGCCACCGACTATCAAACATCAGCACGTACACGGATGGCCAAACTACTTGATAGCAGACAACTATACGACTGCTGGCGCACTATACATCCATCGACTAAGGACTTCTCGTTCTTCTCGCCCACATCACACGTGTACTCTAGACTGGATATGTTCTTCACCCAACACAGATTCCTACACCTAATCCAATCCTCAGAATATGGCTCCATCACGTGGTCAGACCACGCGCCCCTGGTACTAGTCATACAAATACCCACCATCCCACAAAAATTATTTCAATGGAAACTTAACGACCTCCTTTTAAATAACCCAGAGATTGTCTCGCAGCTTAGAGACTCTTTAGACAACTATTTCACCATCAATGCTACCCCATCCTCACCCCCACCTCTCACGTGGGAAGCGCACAAATGTGTGTTGAGAGGAGAAATAATAGCACTGGCAGCAAGATACAAAAAGACACGGGAAGCCTCCATTCGAACACTCACAGAGGACATACGGAAACTAGAAATCAGACACAAAACAGACACGCGACTAGACACGTACAAAGACCTCACAGCTAAAAGATCTGCCCTACAGGACTTACTAAACGCCAAAATCAAACGCACACTCATGCTGACAAAACACTCCTATTACGCACATGGAGGCAAATGTGGACGCCTACTAGCTAATTCTCTAAAACAACAGAGGCAGTCGACCTTCATATCCAAAATTAGAACTCCCTCTGGAGCCATATCACATAAACTCCCAGACATACTATCAGCTTTCCAAGACTTCTACACCAGGCTTTACAATCTGAGGGACTCCCCACCACCAACACAGGACATTGAATGCTTCTTGGCTTCCAGGGTCCACCAGACTATCCCCGCAAATGTTCTTCTGACGCTTGATGCACCTATAACTTCAGACGAAGTCAATTTTGCTATACGACACCTCAAACTGGGGAAGAGCCCAAGACCAGACGGCTTCACGGCCAAATACTACAGAACATTTGCCCACTCCCTTATAGAACCCTTCATACGGGCATTTAACTCCCTCGCTCAACCTGTCACCTTCCCCAAAGCATCTTTGGAGGCACACATAGCCCTCATACCCAAGCCGGGCAAAGACCCATCCAATTGCGGTAGCTACCGCCCAATATCTCTGATAAACCTTGATGTGAAATTGTTTACAAAAATATTGGCCACCCGCTTGAAACCTTGATACACCCCGACCAAGCGGGCTTCGTTCCCAACAGGGAAGCAAAACACAACACCACAAAAATCTTAAATTTGATATATTTGGCAAAACGCCTGCCAACGGAGAGCCTTCTGCTCTCAATCGACGCAGAAAAGGCGTTCGATAGAGTGGATTGGACACTACTGACTGCCACCCTGCGTAAAATAGGATTTGGTCCCAAATGGTTGGACTGGATGCAAGCCATCTATTCCAATCCCACAGCCAGACTAAGGGTAAATGGACAACTATCGGAACCAGTACTCATTAGAAACGGCACGAGACAGGGCTGTCCCCTCTCCCCCCTCCTCTTTATCCTCATATTGGAACCCTTCTTAAACGGAATCCGGGACAACCCGGCTATCAGGGGCATTCAAATACAAGGGGCGGAATACAAAATCTCAGCTTTCGCTGATGATTTACTCTTCACCATACAGACACCTGACACTTCCTTGCCCCCACTCCTAGAGGAAATAGCCCAATACCAGAAACTCTCCAATTTTCAGGTAAATTTCTCCAAAAGCGAAATCCTACCAATTCGAATAGCGCCCCGCTCACGCACAAGCCTGCAAGCCACATTTCCCTTCACTTGGGCGGATAAATCCATTACATACCTGGGAGTTCGTCTGCCGTCGGACCTCTCTTCCATCTTCACACTAAACTACGACCCACTATACCAAAATATCTCAAAAGACCTGCAAAACTGGCAAAAACCACAGTTCTCATGGCTTTGTAGAATCAATATTCTTAAAATGAACTCCCTCCCCAAGATACTATACCTTTTCCAAACCCTACCGATAGCAATACCAAAGCCCTTTTTCACAAAACTTAGGCAACTTTTCACCGCTTTTATATGGGCACAGAAACAACCTAGAATTCCATATGAGATTCTCACCAGACACAAGTCATGTGGAGGCTTGGGCCTTCCACACATGGAAAGGTACTATAGGGCAACCATTCTATCCAGGATTCACGACTGGTCCACGCACCCTCCAGCACGCCAATGGGTAACCCTTGAGAGTGCAGTGAGCCTAGTACCTCTTTACACACTCCCCTGGCAAAGAGTAATTCCCTCAAAATTGCTTTCCTGTTGCTCCGCACACCCCACCATCCTCCCCACGATTAAGATTTGGGCGACCATACGAGAGGCTGAGAGTCTCTCCCCTCACCCATCCCCACTCTATCCCATCACCCACAACCCACTATTCCCCCCTGGAATGCAACCCCGGATATACCAACGGTATGCTAAAATGCTGGACGCTCCCTATCTAACGTTGGGTTCAGTGGTTGAGAACAACTCCATACGAACTCTGAGTGATCTGGTGGGCCCTGTAACCCCTCATACATTACAAGCATTCCACTATGCCCAGCTGACGCACTTCTTAAGAACCAACACGAGCTTGCTCGGGGGTTCTCGCACCCTCTCCGATTTTGAGACACACTGTCTAACCAATACCCCCAAAACCAAACAGCTTTCGACTTTTTATAAACTTCTGATGGTCGACCATAAAACCAAACTGCCACCCTTCACAGAATCCTGGCCAACAGACCTCAATGTACAAATCACATTGCCTCAATGGCAGACTGCCCTTTCACATATCCACACGACGTCCACATGCACTCAAATCCAAGAAAGTGGATATAAGAGAATATCCAGGTGGCATTACTCCCCGGCCAAACTCCATAACATCTTCCCGAACACGCCAGATGTGTGCTGGAAATGCTCCCAACCAAAAGCGTCACTAGCCCACATCTGGTGGCATTGCCCACTCACACAACGATACTGGACCAACATTGTGAAGATGATCCATACAGTGACAGGTACACAACTGCCTCTTACCCCCCACACTCTGCTGTTCCTGATCTTACCTACCCCAATTCCTAAGACACAAAGAACTCTCCTGCTACATCTTCTTACTGCAGCTAACCTGCTCATCCCGGTTAAGTGGAAACATTCTGAAGTCCCCACGATCAGGGAATGGGTAGCAAGAGTAGAGTCAATCAGAACTATGGAGGAGATCCACGCATCCATCTCCCACAAATATACACTTTTTAGAGATACATGGACGCCATGGGCGAGATTCATGGCCGGCAACACACCCTAACTACCGACAGTTCACACTTCTCCCTACTGGGTTACCTACCCGGATGGGTTAACTGTCGGGTTGATTGGCAACACAACACCTCCCTCCCACAATACCACCGGAGTTGATAGAACACGAAACAAGACTCATAGCCCAGTGCACTTGGGTAGGCCGCACTCCGCCGCCCGCTAGACGCGCACACAACAACCTACATTTGATGCCATGTAGGGTCGCTTCTGGCCTAGCTAAGACGGTAGCACGAAACGGGTAGGCGGGGGCTGACAACTTTGACTCCCCACTCAACACCCATGACATCGACCTGGACCTCTAGCCCAATATGGATCCCAGTAAATGGACACACCGGATCACCATACAAACTCGAACCTCAACCTTAGAGAGAGTACACGTCTTAGATGCATTAATGAATATTGTATGAAATGTATTACTCTGACAAACCCTATTGATATGTATCATTTGTCTGTCCAAATATGTACTTGAACCTGTGATGTCAATTGCCACCCCAGACGCAAATGTTTTTCTTTTTTGCATGGACCCCCCCCCCTTCTATTTCTGTATCCCTATTCTACGATGGTAAATACTTTTGAAATACAAAATCTACAAATAAATAAAAAAAAAAAGAATTGAAATCTATAAACATATTTATAAAAAAAAAAAAAAATGTTTTAAGTAGCAAAATGGGCATTCAGTTACCATATGGCCATAATATGCTAAAGGGAAACTGGTAAAAAAACAAAACAAAAAAATTACCTGTATTTTTAAAACACTTTAGAGAAGTCTCTTTTATTACGATGCTCCTCTACCTACATGTATCATGTAGAGCCAGCAGAGGATTTTCAAAATATTTTTGGCAATTGTGCAAAATGGATAATCACGTTACAGGAATAGGTGTGGACCCCAGACTTTGCTCTGTATAGTATGAGATCATAATGTTTCATACCTGTTCCAAGTGCCCCTAACAGATCACATTTAAAGAATAGTTAACACTGACGGAGTCCAGATTCACTAACTGAATAATACAATTCTAAAATAAAAATAAAGAAATCACATTTTTCAAAAGAAATTGTCACGTTTACATTGTTGACAGCTGTGTTTCCACTCACTCCAGCATAGCGATGGAAACAGCTGCTGTGTTGGAAGCATAAAACACACCTTACTAGGCAGCGCATTTAGGGGCTGGCATGGACTTCTTCCAATAATGCACCAAACGAGCATGTGCTGGTCTTCAATGTAAATAGAGAGAGAATAGTGAGGATCAGTCCGGGGTCAAGGATTACTTAAGAGCACAAGATCGATGTGCAAGCCAAAGCTCGAGGAGTAAAGAAATCAGGATAATCAATAAACAGCCAAGTCAAAACCAGAATCTCTCCAATTACAAACATGACTTGCCTTTGGATAGCAAAGACAACGACGGTGCAAAGAACAACCCAAGTATAGTGGTATATAGTCCAGGTATTGACATCATTGGTCAGCATAAAAAATAAATAAAGTTGTAGAAATGAAAACCCATAACGAACCCTTCAGGTTTTGTTGAGTTACACAGAATACTGTTTCAGCATTATTAATAAGACTGGAAAAGGCAGCAATCAAAAAAAACAAACACACTTTGGTCCCATAGATGCATTATACAGTGTTCTATTCATTAAAATTCACATACTAATATTACATCTCTTTCAATATTCATGCCATACAATATACACAAATTGAGATTAAAGGGGCACTACAGTCACCTGAACAACTACAGCTTATTGTATTTATTCTGGTGAGTAGAATCATTCCTTTTTAGGCTTTTTTGCAGTAAACACTGTCCTTTCAGGGAAAATGCAGTGTTTACATTATAGCCTAGGTACACCTCCACTGGCCACTCCTCATATGGCTGCTAGAGGTGCCTCCTGGGTCAGTGCTGACGTGTCTCCACCCTCTGCATGGAGACAATTAACTTTCCTCATAGAGATGTATTTATTCAATGCATCACTATGAGAAACTGCTGATTGGCCAGGGCTGTATTTGCAGTATCAGCCAATCCGATGCTTTCCTATTGAAAAGCATTGTGATTGGTTGAGAGAATCACTTCTGATAATGTCAGCCAAGCAGATCAGAGGCAGCAGCAGCAGACTGAAATAAAAGTAAGATTTTGCTGTAGTTAGGAGGCCAGGGGGGCTTTTAACACTACAGGGTTAGGAATACATGTTTGTGTTCCTGACTCTATAGTGTTCCTTTAAATACTGACAGTGTGGAATTATTATTACATGCCTCCTTTAGGTAGGCACAAGAGGTTAGCTAGGTGTCATTGTTGTTCAGAGAGCATTTAATTGGTTTGCATCCTGGTTCTATTGCAGGTACAACCTTTGCCCCACTTCGAAGATGCCCGATCTATGAACCGAGGTGGAAGTCAACTACATTGACTATAAACAAGGATCTCTTTCATTTATCATTTGTAAGTGCAATATTTCATACTTGCTAACATTGTGCTGTGGGGAAACGGTATAGGGGTGGGCCTTTATAGAGGGATGGAGCAAGTGACACAAATTGCATCACTGGTGATGCCCATAATGGGCACATATGTCTAAAAGCAAGTGGGTCTGACCACTAAATCGGCTTCTGAGCCTGGCCACCTGCATAGAGGACCATGCAGAGAGTGCAGGGAACCAGGGAACAAAATCAGGGCAGTGAGGAGGCATGCATCCTATAAATAACTAGGTATTTATTGTTGCACTGTTATGTGATATTTTGTATTTCTTAATGTTTGGCTATATTTTTTGCTCCTTTTATTTACATTGTATATATCTCTATTGTAAAAGCGTGTGGGAAAAGCCCTGAGAGAAGCTGCTCAATTTATTCTGAGTATATATTTTACATTGTGCACAGGGTGTGTGTAAAGGTGAGGCTTATCATTTATCTTTTTTAATTGTGTTTGCCATTAGCATAAACATTTTTTTTTCTCTTTTAATATTTTATTGTACACATAAGCATCAGGTTGGTCATTTAAAAATGGTGAAGCTGTATTTGAGTTAGTTTAAAAAATTGTTGAGTTTTCAATAAATATTCCAAAAAACCAACCCCCCACTGCTGGTCATTCATATGGTGCCTACATCAATCAGATCATTTTAAAGTTACTTTGACCTACAATTGTTTTACACATTTACGGATTGCAATGCAGTTACACTAAAACATGATGGAAAAATAGCCTGCCTTTTGTTTTATGTATTCAATTCTCTGGTAATGTAAGTACCCCAAACTGTAGAATAGCGTGAAAATAATTATGTCCATTTGGCTGATCCCAGCCATCATACCATGACATTGTGATAATGTTCTTAGGAGAAGACCTTGATGTCTATACGTAATCTACTCCTATGTATTTAACTAATAAAACAGAGCAAACCCTGCTTCTATAGAGTAACAAAACACAGATTAAGGAACAGCACACAAAGAAAAATACAGGTTAAACTTTTACAAGGCTACTTCAGATCATCTATATCAGCAAACAAATATTAGGGTTTAAATTCCACCATATGGCCATATTGTGTAAAGCCCACCACTACGCCACAGTTCCCTAATATCAGTGAGTCCTACACTAATTCCAATGTGGGAGACAAATTAACTAGTGCTAAATTAAGGGAACTCTATAGGGTCAGGAACACAAACCTGTATTCCTGACCCTATAGTGTTAAAAACACCATCTAGCTCCCCTGCCCCCTAAATATAGTAACATTTTATCTTTATTCCAGTCTGCTGCTGCTAGCTCTGTCCCTGATCTGCCTGCTTGGCTGACATCATCAGAAGTGGTGATCAAAGCCAATCACACTGTGCGGCCCTGTCCCAAGAAGCACCTCTAGTAGCCACCTGAGGAGTGGCCAGTGGAGTTATCCCTAGGCTGTAATGTAAACATTGCCTTTTCTCTGAAAAAAAGTGTTTACTGCAAAAAGCCTGAAGGGACTGATTATACTCAACAGAACAAATACAATAAGCTGTAGTTGTACTGGTGACTACAGTGTTCATTTAACTAAAGTGTATTTAATCAATCTGTTGTAAGAGCATTGTAAATATTATATATATTAAACGTCAAAGGCTTGCACTCCTGGTCACCTTCGTTAATGCACAGAGCTGGTCTGGCAAATCTTGTAGATACAGCAAAAGGAACCACACTCCATGGACTTCATTGAACGTTAAAATAAGTCTTAACTTTTATTTAATCCATTAAAATGATGTCAACGTTTTAGCTCCCACATGGAGCTTTCATCAGGACCTTTCATCCTTTTTATCTGTCCTGATGAAGGCTCCATGTGGAGCTGAAAAGTTGACATCATTTTAATGGATTAAATAAAAGTTAAGTCTTATTTTAACTTTCAATGAAGTCCATGGAGTGCTGCTCTTTTTGCTAAATATATATATATATATATTGCAAAATGAATGTGATAAAAACACAAAAGAAAATACAGTGTCAAAACGAAACAATTAAAGTGATAGTGCTTTCATGTGTATACTCAAACTGCATATCATATAATCTGCTCAATATCAAATAAAAATATTTATTTAAGTGACATTGTTATCCAAAACCTCCTAAAATGTATACTTTCTTGGGGTGGGCTTAACATGATATGGGAATTTTGCATAGCAATGTCACTTTAATAAATATTTTTATTTGATATAGAGCAGATATATAACTAATCCCCCATATTTTTATTGTTGCTGATATTTTAAGCAGGCTTGTGAAATTTAAAACTGTATTTTTTTATTTTATATGTGTGTGCGTTCTTTAATCTGTATATTGCATTAATTTCGGTCTCTACAGCAGCACCATTGCTGAGAAATGCATGTCTCCTTTTATTTCTATCTAATGGGTAAAAAGGCACTACATACAAACAACAATACATTGAATTAATAATAAAATTATTAGACTTAAACTAAAGCTTGGCTGTTTTGGCCTACAGTTTGAATTTGTTTATTTATTTTACTGCAGTTCACTGTTTAGTGAATAAACTCCTGATGGTACTGGGATTGCATCAGCTGCCAGTAGTACATTTCTTAAGCCTGTACATTCACATGCTACCTTATGTCACCCGAGACAGGCCCATTTATTAAAGGGTTACTCCATCCACCATGACCACTTTAGTGATTTGCAGTGGTGATGGTGGTAGGAGTCTATGTGCAGCATTTAAGCTTGAAAAGCTGTTCATGCAAAGATATTGGCACTTGTGTGCCAGGGGCTAGTTACGCCACAGCACATGTGATTTAGGCAG